AGATGGTCGCATATCCCGATTCAAGGCCCGACTAGTAGCAAAAGGGTTCATACAAATTCCCGGTCAGGACTATACCTACATGTTCGCTCCAGTCGCACACTGGGAATCTATCCGATTCGTGCTCACACTCGCCGCCACCTATGACATGGTCTTGCGCCAAGTCGATGTCAAAACAGCGTTTCTCAATGGGCCGTTGGACGAAGAAATTTACATGCGCAAGCCTGAGATAGCCGGACCTGGTTACTGGCGGCTTCTGAAAGGACTTTACGGGCTAAAACAAGCTGGACGTCAATGGTACCTTGAACTTAACACAAGACTCGAGTCCATTGGTTTCAAGTGAGTCGAATCAGACTGGAGTGTGTACATCCGAAAGAAGGACAATGATTGCACGATAATCACAACAAGCGTTGATGATATGTTAATTGCCTCATCGACACAAGCGGAATCTGACACTGTCATTGGGGCACTCTCAGCACAGTTTAAAATCACCAACAACGGCGAGCCCAAGCTACATCTCGGATGCTCAGTCGAGCGAGACCGGTCGAATCACACTATCCGTCTCCACCAGAAGTCGTTCACAGAGTCGATTCTTTGCGACTTTGGGTTTGACAAAAGCAACTCGGTTCAAACCTCAATGGATCCGAGTACCCAACTTGCTCCTGCTACCAATGATGAAGTGGAAAAGGCGAAGGATTACTCATATGCGGCGGTGGTTGGACGCTGCATGTACTTGTCGACATGCACTCGTCCCGACATGCCGACATACTATACACAGTCCAGGAACTCGCGCGGTTCATGGCTAGACACGGCCCAGCACACGTTACAGCGGCAAAACACCTCCTGCGGTACCTTCGTGGGACTCCAAGTCACGGGATTCTGCTTGGGGGCAAAGACACACTGGAACCAACACTTACCGCTTTGAGTGATTTGGATTGGGGCATGGGGAATGACAGAAAGTCCATATCTGGCTTCGTGATACTTATCGGCGACTCCCCGGTGTCTTGGAGCTCCAAACAGCAAGCGGTGGTGGCCTTGTCCTCTTGCGAGGCCGAGTACCTAGCCACAACTCATTGTGCGAGAGATATTCTTTGGTTCCGCAACTTACTACACGAATTGGGTTTTCCTCAACAACAACCGGCCTCTCTATTCTGCGACAACCAAGGCACTGTGGCCTGTACTCACGACCCACACGCTCATTCGAAAATGAAGCACATTGTGATTTGAGAGCACTTCATCATCCGCGATTGTGTCCTGAGACGACTGATCAACGTGATGCATGTAGCGGGCAATGACAACATTGCCGACCTCTTCACGAAACCACTGCACCGTGTGATGGCATGCACGGTGGCTGAAGATGTTGCGACTAGACGCACGTCAAGGGGGGGTGTCAGATGGTGACCCGGCTGACAATCTTATCAACTAATCTTATCTACGATACATTCCGATCTTACTATGACTGGAACCTGGACGACGAGAGGAGCTCCTAACTGCTCTCTCGTCGTACCAGGTATGAACCTTTACTTACTGTCTGTGTATATTAACTAACTGCTCTCTCGTCGTACCAGTAACCCAATACATACCGTTCTGATAGCGGTCCTGGTGCCATCCGACTGGCCATTACCGTGTTGCGCTGTCAAGCCTGAAAAGTGTTTGACATAAAGAGGAAAAACATAATTAGTTGCAATTTCCTTTCAAAAGAAAAAGAACAGCCAAGCTGGCCGCTGGCAGTCATGTGATGTGACATTGTGACAGATGACATCATTATGACATCATTGGGAACGCTCCGCAATGATGTCATACCTTGAAAACAGCATAAAAGGAGCTCAGTTTTGGATACTAGAGTAGACAACCCCCACTATACTTTTCCTCCCACTCATCCTCACATTTGAGTAGACACTACTGTGTGTACACTTGAATACATCTTACCTCTTTTGGACGATTTTGATCTGACATTTGATCCCATCAAACGATAAGGATTAAATAAGCTAGAACCCCTACAAGAATATTAGGAGTACTCACTGGCAGTCCTCTAGTATTTCTGATCTTCACAAGTCTTTGGTAGACTTGTACGTACGATATACGAATTGATTGGTTTCCGATAGCTAAGGCAGTTATCTGGAATTAATCCCCGCAAAGCCACGTTTACCTGGAATTCGCTTTGCCCCGGTGCGCATAAGGTTTTCTTCGAACAAGAATAATTGTTAGATCGCAAGCACCTAGTCAGCCCAACTTGATCACTCATTAAATTGACTCATCATTTGGAACTGCTGTGTTTGGATTAGCATAATTTTCTACTTCTGCACGTTACGATTGAGAACTTGTTTTGCCCTGGTGCGCATTAGGTTTTCTACCCAGTTGTTTTTTTTAGTTCAGCAAGCCAGAATTAGTCATTTACAGAATTGACTCTATCTTGGTTTATTATATCCCCAAATAACCATTTCTCAAATAATCCATTCAGAGTAAAATCTGAATAACCTACCATCACCTTTTCCCACGAACTTATACGTGAAGTTCTTGGACAAAGTCGCTCCCAGAGCTTTACGTTGGAAAACAAATTTCCACTTGACATCATTGGAGCCCACCGCGAGGGGGATTAATTGGTGATAAAACTTAATTAACCCTCTAAATTCCACAACAAATCCATTTCACCTACAACAATTCATCACACCCTATATAAATTCTCATTTCACTATAAGAAATTCAACATGAGAATTAATGAAATACCCGAGTCATCTGGTATGGCAGCAGATGAGGCATTTGCTGCTAATCTTCAACAAGAGGAGTATGATCAACCCCAGGCAACTACCAGCAGGCATAAACCTATGCCTAAAAAGTCAAGAAAGGGTAAAGAAAGAGAAAGAGGAACAATCAGGTACTTTCTAGAAGACTTCAGTGAGGAGTCTGAGCCTGAGTATGTTAAACCATGGCCTAGAACTCCACCCTCCTCTCCTGAACCCCAACTAAGGATGCCAGCCTTACATTCATTTAATGCTCCCCTGAGGACTTCACTAGATATGCCTATTCCAGGTACCAAAGGTGCTCCCAAGACCTTCAAGGGAAAACATTCTGAGGTTGAGCAATTTGTCCGGACTTTTGATAGCCTTCTCTCTAAAAATAGAGTTACTGATGAGAAGGAGAAATGTCATTTTGTTCTGGACTACTGTTCTTCTAATATCAAAAATGTTATTAGAACCATGGACAATTTCCGACGACCTAGTTGGCTTGGGCTAAGAAAGGAAATTCTTAAAGTATTTGATGCTGAACGAGCCCTGCATAAATATCGGTTATCAGATATTGTCAGCTTTGCTAAGGAAATGACTAAGCAGAGTATAACATCTATGGCTCAGTGGCGAAAATATATTATAAGGTATAATACTGTAGCAGGGGGATTGTATACTCAGGGAAGGATTACTGAAGAGACATATCTCTGCTATTTTTGGGTTGGAATCTCCAAGGACTTACGTTCAGCATTTGAATCATATATTCTACTGAACAGACGTCGCTTAAGTCCATCCCAATACTCCATGCAGGAAATTAATGCTGCAGCCGAATGGCACTTTAGAAGATCAAGAGTTGAAGAATTGTTACAGGATACTGCAGAATTTGGACTTGATGATTATGATCATGATGATGATTCAGAATCTGATTCTGATCAATCTGATAGTGACTCAGAATGGGATTATCGGCGATCAAAACGAAAAAGGAGATCTGCCAAGAAATCAAAAGATAAAAAATCCAGACCATCAACACCCAAATCTAAAGTTAAATTTAGTGGAAATGAGGAAGAGATAGCTGGAATGATTAAACAGCTAAATGGCATGAGACTGGAGGACCCAGAATATGCACCCACTTATTATAAGGTACTGGCCATGGACCAAACAGGAAATGCAGTACATTGTGTCAAGGCCCCATCTCAAAGTCAGTCCATTTCCCAACCACCATATACACGGAGACCTAGTTTCTCATCATCAAATCAATATCCATCACGATCATCTGATGTATCAACATCATCACCCACAACATCACAAAAAGTTGCCTCTGCTGCCACTTATCCAAATAATATTCCAGTTGATCCTAACTGTTTTGGATGCAAAAAGCCTGGACATAGAATGTCTGAATGTCCAGAAATTAATGATTTGATTAGCAAGGGAATAATCAGCCAGCATCCCCAGACAAGGAGGTTGGAACTCAAATCAGGCGCCCCAATCAGAAGAATGGCTGGAGAATCCATAGTGCAAGCAGTGGAAAGACTGACCCAAGGACAAGCTGGCTCCGCTGTTATGTTAGCTTTTGTGGAGCCGTTGTTTGGGACAAAAAGAGCGGTGGAGAATTTCTATCAATCCACAGCAAGGGTACAAGAGATTTACTCCGATCAGTCTGATGATGAGGATGATGAAAGTTTAGGTTATACAACAGACGAAGATGAAGATGGGACTGTATATTTAACAGTACCCAGGACTGTCCAGTTCATAGATGAAGAGGAAGCAGATGTATTTGAGGTTGATCGACGACAGAGTTCTATTCAGCGCGCCCGCAAGGAAGTATTTGATGGTGTTCATGTTCCGCCAAGGCCCAGAACTAATACAAAGAGTCCATCACCGAAATCAACCTCGCCACCTATTCATTCAACCCCAGCAGCAGCGCCACCCCCACCCCCGCATGCTACCCCACATGCTGCCCCGCGTCCACCAACCCCGCCCGGATCCCGATCAGTACCTAAGAAGGAATTAAATATGGACAGCAATATCAAACCTGTCGACGCACGAAAAACTCGTACCATCTCTGATGGAGACATCAAGATGGTGGACAGGCCAGTCCGTGCTCATGAAGCCCCAGTACCACGAGATCTAGTGGACCCAGTGCGGCCGGGGCGAAATCGAGACAAAGAGAGCGGAGCACGAACATCTAACAGGCAATCAGCCATATCCGCGACCGTAAACAGAAGTGACGTTACCAATCGTGCACTGGATTCAAAGATTGAAGTCAGCTTGCGAGAACTGATGGAAGTCTCGAAAGACGTGCGATCAGAATTTACTGACCTGATACGGGTGCGTAACCCCAAGGCTGTTCTCATCAGTGCCCGAAAAGCAGCTATGATTGGGAGTTTTGCATGGCCCAGGATGGACGGTGTCTTGATTAAGGTCGAGATGGTGGCTGGAAATTCTGTCATTACCGCCATCGTTGATACGGGTTCGCAATTGAATGTTGCCCGGGGCGAGATTGCACGGAGGAAGATTCCACAAGTGGTTGATACCACCTGCATCATTAACATGAATGACGCTAATGGCGGTTCGGGTCAGCTGCGAGGGATGATACGGAACGCTGAACTTGCCTGCGGAGGTTTGAAGACCAAGGCAGATTTGTGGGTCTCGGAACAAGCCCCATTTGACTTGCTGCTCGGACGTCCCTGGCAGCGACAGAACAAGGTGAGTATTGACGAGCGAAGGGAAGGGACCTACCTGGTCTTCAAGGACCCCATTACGGACCACCCACGATTTGAGCTGTTGGCGGCAGTAGCGGAAGATGATACTGATGGGCCCGCCATACACTATCAGTCGTTGGCGTGGCTCCGCGCAAGCGAGTTGGCGCCGCCAGAGAGTTCGGCTGAGGAATATGTTGAAGGAGATGGTGGCGTTGTAGACGAAGGGCAACGGGTGGGAGTCGCCGTTTTGCGATTTGTCCGCTTGGTCATCAGCGCAACAGTGCTGGTGGCCTGTGCCATAATATTGGAATTTTTCCAAGCCACTAGACGGATTAAATCGTTGAATGAAAGAGAGGAGAACGAGCAAGAACACATACCAAATGAATTCAACCATTCACGGAGGATCCAGCATTCAATTCCGCTTGCGCCCCGTCTCGAGACCGCCGCGTCGCAACAGTCAGCCGACGCATGGTGGCGTTTTGTCTTCGCACCCGTCGATAGACTCTGGAGATGGGTGAATGGCTTCAGAAAAACTGGGACGGAGACTAGGATTTTAAATCGCGACTTACCAGCCGAGCTCATTCAAAACCAGACTTTGATACCGCGCGATGCATTTATTGCCAAAGTTGCTGAACCCATTGTGACTTTGATTCACGTCCAGCGTACGGGTGGAGAGCACTACGAGCAGTTTGCGAGACTAGCGAAGTCAATAGACTGGACAAGAGAGAACACAATACCTACCGTTCCCCCAGATGGCACTGAAAATGATGACAATAGAAACGCTGGTGACGAAAATCGTCTACCAGACCAGAGGTGGCGAACGGGAGCAAAGAACGAACACTATAAAGAGGTAGGTCGCAACGAGGAACGACCAGAACCAACCAATAACTCACCTGAACCATCCACCACACTCTCAAATACAAGCTGGCCTCAGTTTCTATCCATATCATCATCACTCACCAAGATGCCACAGTTTCACTTACCCAGCCTCCAGCAGGCGCGATCCCCCAGCCTTCAACACCTCCAACAGGTCCGCGAACCCCTCCCAGCACGCCCAATGCGACCCCTCTTGCAGCGAATGAACGCCATCACGGAGGCCGACCAGGCAACGCCTGGCGCGCCAACGGCGAACGCGGCCGCGGAAATGTTCACGCGGGACGAGGTCGTGGCGGTGCACACCTTGGCCACCATGCACCAGCTGGACAACGGGGTAAGTAGCCACTCATCTGACTGTAAACATACTTACCGGAGTTGCAAGGCCCAAACCCATATCCCCGTGGCCCCTCTCAGCCAGTTCGAGGTCGATGGGACCACAGCTCAACCCCACGAGGCCCCCGCGCAAGTATCTCCAGCTCTTCAGTTCGCGGCCTCGCGACAGAGCGAGCTGCGACTGGAAGTAGCAGCCCGTCCGCCAACGCCATTCCCGTTCCACAACGCGACGGACCGCGTGGCTGTAGCACAAGCGCAGCACGCATTGCTTCTCCGTCGCAGCCTGGTGGACGCCATGGACCATCTCCGGATAAGCGAGGATGGCTTAACGGCCAGCAGTCTGGTGGACACACCAGACAACCCGACAGAGCCGCCCCCGCCCACACCGATGGTCCTCTGGTTTGGCCCCGCTCCACTTCTCCCGTCAACCGTTTCCGCGCTACCAACCACTGAAGTTGCCAATGAGGATCGTGCGGCGGTGAGCTATATTCGTCGTGGTATTGAAGAGAGCGACGCGTTTAGTAAAGCCCGGGCTGCTGCTTGGGATTGTCAGCTGACTACCATGCACGCCATGCACGTTCTGCATGCCCAGGAGCACGCACATGCACTTCAAGAATTGCTGAAAGTTTTTTATCAGCAAGCCATCGATAACGAACATCGAGGGCATGCTAACCTTTGGGCCGCTGCCGGATGGGCAGGAGAGAACGGTTGCGAGCGTATTGACGACTTCGCTTGTCGGAAGGTGATGGTTATGCTGCAAGCGGATGAGCAGTATGAAGAGGCCTGGAAAGAGGTTGTCGCCACTGCTTGTCAATTGAGCTTGCAGTACAGCGAGCTGTACGTACCGTTTGCACTTTCATGTGCTAACACTAACTTGCGCAGGGAGCGTCTGTTTGGCGTTGGGGCCCAGTACATGGCAGAAGAGAAGAATGAGGCGTCCGGCACGACGACCGGTGACACGGGACCACACGTGGCCGTCACACCGGAGTCACTGCCCGAAAGCCTCGCCTGGCCACCACCCTTCGATGCCTGGCCCGCATTGCTGCCCGATTATCCCTACGCGCAAGCGCTTCTCACGGACCGAAAGAAATATATGGTCGAAGAGGAGGACGGCACTGAAGGTCAGTATAAGCTTGGAGTTGCGAGGTATACATCTGAACAAGTGGGCTTACCAGGTGCTGAGTCCGACGAGAGTTTTCCCGGGGCCCGCGACTTCATTATTCGCTGGCAGATGAACCGCATCTCAGAACTCTACGATGCCGGCCAATTTGAAGAAGCGCGCAAGGTCTGGGTGAGCGCCATGCAATCCTTGTACAAGCGCGCCAAATACCCTTTTCCTTCCCATTCCGACCTACACCCCGAAGACACGTCCGCAGAAAACGAGGGAGAGGGTGATGACGACGAGTGGTATCGAAGTATGGACGGAGACAGCGAGAGTTCTTATGACGCGGATGGTGAAGAGGACGCGCTAGAGGACGGGTATGTGCGCTTACAACTCATAACTCGCGTTAATTCGGTTGATAGGGAAATACGGGACAACGTGCGTGCGGGCATGGACATTGACATGCCCTCGCTGCTTCCCCCGGACTCACCAGCCTATACTCTCTCTGACGAACCGGTGCTTGTTCGCAGTTCCATCCAACACCCGCCAATTGCTGCTTATCTTGTCCTGCCTTCTGTGCCGCAAGCCGCAACCAACCTCGCCACCACTACAGCTACTGCCGCGCCGCGCTTCAGCTCGACAGCGCGCTCGGCCTCACTCACTGTCACCAACCAAGAAGAAACTCAATATAGCCTTCTTCACCCAGAACTGTCTTGGGAACGAACGGACCGACGTTTCGAGATGCACAACCTCTGGCGACATGTCTACCACCCACATGGCTCTTTTGTTCATCAACCACACATTCCGATGCGACTGTACGAGCAAGCAGGCGCATTCCGCGTGCTACCCTTTTCTGGCAACCTTGATCCACCCAACATCGAAATTTCACCTGATTCATCGGCAACCTCGAATTATCCTGACTCACCTTTAGCCGCATGGGACCCCAGTATGAGTTCTCAACCTTGGAGTCTCATTACGAAGAGGCGGTGGCCACTATCGAGAAACGGGAAGGTTTGCTGGGGGTAGCCTGGTTATGAAGCGAATTTTGGAGCCTTATAAACTGGCGTACTCACTTTCCAGTGCGAACACGTTTGCGCTGCTCCGCCATGCTCACAACCTGGTTTATGGACGGACTGGTCTAGGCACTGTCTACGATCCCGACATGTGCCGAGAACCTGACGGGCAGCGCATGGAGTTCGTTATCGGAAACGAATTCCGGTTAGAGCTGTAAGGGCAACCCCGGAGGCCTGAGATCAAGGTCCTAGCAGGGGAGGATCCAAAGAGTGAATAGAAGTAAGCAAATACAAGTGAGGCTGACCTAGCAGGGGAGGATCCAAAGAGAAGAAACTCTAAGGGTCCGCCTGCTAGGTAGCGGAACTATATACTGCGCTCTTGACGCGCCAAGGTTGATCGTTGCTCCGTGCAGTATGCCTGCGCCATGTCGCAGGCCAGGTCCCAGGGGGATCGCCAGGCGGGGGCGGCGATGCGCCTGACGGAGGCGGTGATGCGATCACCGGAGTCGGAACCGGAGTCGGACCGGAATCGGGATCGTCTCCGAGGGGCCGAAAGGGAGGTTCCCCTGACATCACCCCCCCCTTTGAATGCGGCGTCCCGACGCATAGACCGGAACGGAATCGAGTCGAAGGTTGCGGAGGCGATGTGCCGTGGTTTGCCAGGGTACTTACGGTAGAACTCCGCGATTTTGTCCGGGGCGAAGACGCGGTCGAAGCGGACCCACTGGTCGTGCGACGCGTCGTAGCCTTTCCATCTGACGAAGTAATTCAGCCGTTTATACCTCACCCTTGCGTCCAAGATCTCCTCTACTTCCCACTCCGGGACTCCGTCCTCGAGGTCCGGAGGGGGCTGGTCGAGCCGGGGCGTCCGTCGAAGGGGTCGTCTTGGGCGAGCTCAAGCTTGACGACGGGGAGACCGGGTGGAGCTTCGAGTAGCGCGGAGGGAGGTCGAGCTTGTAGGCACCTTTGCTGATCTCCGCGACTATCTTGAACGGACCGAGGCGGCGGTGGGAGAACTTCTCCGAGGGGCGAGTCGTCCTGATGTCAGAGGCATCCAGCCAAACACGGTCGCCAACCTTGAACTCCGGAGACGGAGTGCGTCTCCGGTCGTAGTAGCGCTTATACTCTTCCTTGGCCTTAGTGAGCGCGGCCTTGGCTCGGCAACCCCAGTGGCAATTCGGTCGCGGAACTCGTTCACAGACTCCATAGCGGAACGGGCTCCGGGTTCAAAGCCCATGCGCGGAAGCCGTCCCCGTGTCCGTCATGAAGGGGACTTGCTGCGTGGATGAGTGGACGTGGTTGTTGTAAGCGAACTCCGCGGCCGGAATCAGCTCATCCCAGTCGTCCTGCTGATAGTTGGTGAAGATCCGCAGGTACTGCTCCAACTCCTGGTTGACGCGCTCTGTCTGACCGTCCGTTTGCGGATGATACGCGGTGGACGTGGCTGGCTTGATGCCGATTAGACGCCAGAGTTCTCGGGTGAAGTCCGCGATGAACTGTGAGCCACGGTCGGAGACGTACTTCTCCGGAGTCCCGTGATGGCGCCAGACATTCCGGTAGTAGAGGCGGGCTGCTCCTACTGCGTCGACCGTGGTATGGCACTCGGAGAAGTGGGCTCGCTTCCCAAGGGTGTCCACGACGACCATGATCGCGTCGTACCCCATGGGCCTCGGGGAGCTCGACAATGAAGTCGACGGAGACGGTATGCCAGCGCTCCGGGGTGTTTCCGTCGGGTGTAGCTCTCCGTGGGGCAGTCTCCGGAGCGCCTTGGTGCGACAGCACAAGTCGCAGGTCGCGACGTACCGGCCGATATGGCGAGACATCTGAGGCCACCAGTAGTTCCGGGAGACCAACTCCAAGGTCTTGAAGCGACCGGCATGTCCGGCGACTCGAGTGTCATGGCAGAGCTCGATGATGCGCCTCCGGAGGTCCTTGTCCTTGGGCACGACAATCTTCCCACGGAAGTGGAGAAGACCACCGGAGACGGCCCACTCGTCGGAGCGTGAGGAGCG